GAATAACCCAATGGGGGTTTGCTGATAGTTAAGGAGGGATGTAAACCATGCTGGGAACGCAAGTTCAAATCCCTTCACCATTTTGGCAAAAACAATCCAAAGGTCCATGCTGCCACACTTGGGTGGAGCCTTGCCCTGTGCTTGTGGACAGGGTGGTTTACAAGTACACTTGCACTTGTTGGGCCAGACGTCCAAATACACATTTTATCAAAAAAAAAAAAAAAAGAAACTTCAAAATAGAAGAGATAGCAGATCACAAGACATCTTTGTCTGATTGAATGAAAATGGAAATGGTGATTGGGAAGGATTAAGAAAGTGGCAACAATACGCAATAACAAAACAAGGCAAGAGTACCTCTTGGCAGCATATATAAGAATTCTTTGGCGAGAGCGACCCTCCTCATCAGCACCTGCAACACTATTGATCAACTCCATCGCAGTATTATTCTGATATATCTGTTGTGGTGTGCTTTCTTGACTGAAAATTTTTCAAATAACAGAGCGAAAATTTATAGCTTCCATGAGAAGAAAAATAACTAGTACAGTCTTAAGTTAGATAATATCATACTTACAAACAGATAAGAAAAGATTACTGCAAGATAGTGTTTAACAAAAGAACATAAACATTACAGTAAATGGCACATATCCTAACAAGAGATTGCAGTTTAATACTGTAAGAATATTTGGTCTTATCATTGCTTAATTATATTCTACAACGCCTTAAGTTTTTGTTTAAGTATAAACTACAAATAAAATGGATCTTGTCCAGCATCCAAGTCAAAAATAAACCAATAATGAATTTTCAACTTGAAAATGATGATCTGCAAATACTTGCATGCCTGAATAGTTATTGAATTGAAATGCTTTAACTGCAGAATCGGAATTGCACAGAAGAGTGGCATCACACAACTAAAAAGCAATAAGTAGAAAAGAACTCAATATTGACAGAGTTATCGAAGTAAGAGATCAGAAAACAGCTCATATAAATAGCTAATATATTGAACAATGAAAAACATGCCATAATTGCATCTTAGCAGCTTTTAAAATCTGATGGAAGACAGAGAGCAAGCATGTAAAATCCAGGACCGAAATTCAAATGGCATAATAATCAGCAAAAAAAAAATATCAAGGATCCAGAGACAGAAACACCAAATCTACACAGCTCCAGCAATTTGAACAGATTTAAAAAGAGGCAAGTTTTATCATATTTCAATTGCAAAAGTAGACCTGTATGGAGATCCAGCCTCATCTTCGTCGCTCTTCAATTCACTGAGTAATTCTCTCATTGTGAAAGTCCGATTTCCTTCGTCTTTTTGCAGATCAGGATGCGCAACTTGATTCGCAGACGTTGCTGTTGTGTCCTCATTTGATTGGATCGGTTCCTCGACCTTTAGATCTGCCTCAGACACCTCCTGTTCTGGCTCTGGTTCCGGCGTCAATTCTCGTTCTTCTTTCCTTTCTGCTTCTGCTTCCAGCTTCGATTCTGGCTCTTCCTTTGTTTCTGATACCGGTTCTTGTTCGGGCTCCGGTGTTTGTTCAGGCTCCAGTTCCGGCTCTGGTTTTTGTTCCATTACATTTTCCGGTAACGGTTGCCGCCGGGATTGGCTTGGCGAATCGGGCTCCTGAGACATTGCGAAAGAGATCTGTGGAAGCGAAGAATGAAGAGTATAGTTAAGCAGCCAAAGTCCCCCTAAGAAACAAACGCCGGAAGGAAATGTTCATTTTTATTTTTTATTTTTTAACAGTAAGAGGGAATGAATGAAATGCTGAGAAGTCATTAAATCTCCAATTTTGTCTTCAACTATTGTATGTAACTACGATTTTGTCTTTAGATTAAAAAAATTTTGATTTAGTTCCTATTATTTACTAATTTGACCACAAATTGATCTTTTTGTACAAAAACAAATTATATGTTACATTATTAATGTGATATGTTGTAATTAAGTAATGATTTTTTATTGTTAAATAATAGACTTATAAGTTATTTTTTATCAACATGACCAATTTAAAGTCAAATTAGTAAACAATGGGACTAAATTAAGGATATGTATAATAATTAAAAGACCAAATAGAGGATTTTTTTACTTTAAGGACCAAGTCAAGGGTCATATAATAATTGAGGGATCAAATTGAAGGTTTAACCAATCATGAAAACAGTTACTGCATTTCTAAAGAGGTAAAAGGCAATGGTAAAAATAAAATAGCTAAAGTCAACAATGATCCATATATTTTGAGAATGTTGATTATCGTCCTATATACCATGAAAATGCCCTCCACTCCACGAAATTAGGGACAGGTGCTTCTCTGCGCCGCCCCATCTTAGTATATTTTTTCCTCGGTGTTTTTCCTCTAGTCAAACAGAATGAAAATCGAAGGAGAGCATATAAATCATTAATCTAAATAATTGTTAATTTAAGACTAATGAGTAATTATAACAAAAATGATTAAAAACTCGAATAAGATGTAATTGAACCATTTGAATTTGATTCATTAGAGTTATTGCTAGTTAATAAGAGTCATTTAGAATTGCAACTTACAAGCTATGAAATAGTGTTTTTTAAAATATTTTTTATTAAAGTGTTCTTAAATTAATTTTTATACATTTCAAAATTAGTTTATTTTTAGAGTGATTTTAAGGATACACGCATAAATTAACCTAATGAATTTTTTAGAAAATTAATTTATCAAAATAATAATTATTTCCCAATAAATCTAATTCTTAAATTATGAAACCGTGTTGTATAACTTAAAAAACAGTTATATGTCTATGGAGAAGTAAAAAGGTCATGGTAAAAATAAAATGGTTAAAGTCAACAATGATCCATGTATTTTGAGAATGTTCATTATCGTCCTCAATACCATAAAAAATGTTCACTTCACCGTGGAATTAGGGGGGCATTGCCCTGCCCTGCCTCTCCCTGGCAATCAGACTGTCTTGTTAAATTGGCAAGCGGCAACACGGCAGATTAGTGGCACCACAAGTGTTGTCCCCCGGTACAGTAATGGCAAGGGGGAAATTGCCTTTGAAACTAAGGAGTGCGTCCTGCCTACCAAATCTTTTTTTATACACTTTAAAGCTTTTTTTTTTGGTTTCTTGCCCGGTATCCGGGTTTCGCCCCGACTACTTCGGACTCGACCAGCTGTGGCGTACCAGAATGGTGGGTGGGTCTCCCAACGAAGACTGCTGCGTACACAAGGTCTCAAACTCGAGACCTTACTTAAGTTGGAACAAGTCGTTTGCCACTTGATCCAACCCCTCATTGGTTACACTTTAAAGCTTTTATTTCTATTGTAGTGAGAAACTTAGATTTTTTCTCTTTGTTTTTGAATTGTAAATTTGACTTGTCATTGCTTAGAGGTTATCGTTGAGAATTTTAGTTGAAATTTTAGGTCTTATGACAATTCTGCTTTGGATTTGAGATTTTGCGGTAGAACCGTAGAACGACAAAACACTGGTAAACAAAATTCAGCTATAGAGATATTATTATTGGAAAGGACTTACCTTGGTCTTTTTTTTTTGTTTTTCCTTTTGCTATATTTGAAAAGTCAATATACTTTTTGTCATTTACCCTTAGTATTTAGAATCTAGATCTAATTACTTTAAAATTGAGTTAGGTCAAACTCTATAAAAAAAATTCTTTTAACATTTATTTTTTTATTTATAAAATTTAAATTTAAAATTTTATTTTAAAAAGATCAAACTCCTTACATTTGAATTAATAAATTATTGGTAAAAAAAGTCAAGATATTAGTAGATTAATATGTTTACACAATCTTAAAGTACATTCACATTGCTTTGTATATTTAAAGAAATTTAATATTCTTAAATGGTGATGGTTGATCCCGATATATATATATATATATTTTATGTTTGTTGCACAGTGAGAAACAACCATATTTCATTTTTTACCATACCTCATCTGCATATCATGTGATTCAAATTTAAAATCTCTTACTTTCGACAAAAATAGATTATTATTAAGTTACTTAAGTCGTTGGCCATTCCAATATTTAAACATAAACATAACTTAAGATGACCCTTATTCTATAACAAATTTTGTTTGAAGCTCTTAAAGTCTGTAATTGCTTATAATTGAGAAAAGCAAGGCATGAATGGCTCCATCTTTATTATAATTAAAGTGGCCCTTCACCTTAGCTAATTGACAGCGGTTGGGGAATATCATTCTCCATGGATAGGTAGAGATAGCCAACTAAATTTCGCAAAGGTTAAATCCCCAATTTGGGCCCTGAACTATTATATAGACCCCGATTTGGTCCCTAAACCAAAAAATACCTGATTTGGTCTCTAAACTATTGTATGGACCCTTAATTTAATCCTTACTGTTTACCAATTTATCTCAAGTTGGTCATTCCGTACAAAAATTAACTGACATGTCTTGTTATTAACGTAACGCGTAACCGTTAAGTTACTGTTTTTTGTTGTTAGGTTATTATTTTCCACTTTTAAGTAATAAACACGTTAGTTGTTTTTTGTACAGAAATACCAATTCGGAGCAAATTGGTAAATAGTATGATCAAATTAAGGATTCGTACAATAATTTAAGGACCAAATTAAAAAATTTTTTAATTTGTAAATTAAATCAAAGATTTATATAATAATTTAGGGACCAAATTAAAAATTTAACCTTTCACAAAATATTGTTTGAAAACAGGATCTGAATAATAAGACAACCATCGTGTTTGCAAAAGTTGCACCATAAAATAATTTGAAAGCATGCTTTTTGTAAATTATTACGTTTCAAAGGTTCAAGCTTAGAATTTGCACACAAAAATTCAATTTACTTGAATGAAAGCAGTCTTTGATGTACGGTGCGCAGACTTAAACAGCTGAAAAAAAAAAGGGAAAAAACTGTAAATAAACAAAATCAAATCGCAAATACAGCATTGAAATGTCGTTGAACAACCCTTTAATTGAAACTTCTAATTCAGCTCAACCTCCCCCCAACAACCGTTTCCAACTTTCATCTATTTGAACCCTACCGCCTTGATTTCTCACCACACCAGACCGATCACATCTGATTTTTATCTCGTTGGAGAAAAATGGCCAGCAACAAGTCCAGGGAAGACGAGCGTGCAGGGGCGGAGATTGTGTACGGCACCGAAGAATGTTACCGCCACTCCGTAGAACTTCTCGAGGAGCTCGGATTCCCCAAAGGCGTTCTTCCCCTGAAAGACCTTGAAGAGTGCGGCAGAGTTAAGGAAACGGGGTTTGTTTGGATGAAACAGAAGGCGCCGTACGAGCACTTCTTCAAGGGGACCAACACCCGCGTCAGTTACTCGACGGAGGTCACGGCGTACGTGGAGAAATTCAGGATGAAGAAAATGACGGGGATTAAGAGCAAACAGATATTTCTGTGGGTGCCGATAACAGAGATGAGCATCGACGATCCTGCTAGCAAGAAAATTATGTTCAAGACTCCAATGGGGATCGGGAAATCTTTTCCGATGAGTGCATTCATGGTGGAGGAGGAGGAGGAGACGACCGCCAAGGACAAGTCTCTGGAGGAAATCAATGGATGAAAAGCATCTTTTTCTGATTTGGGTGTGCTTTTGATTGAGTTCAATCTGTTGAGGATGCAACGGACGGAGTTCATTTTCTAATTTAAATTGAAATTGTTCTTGCTGGTTTCAACTTGTGTTTCGGTTATTTTCTTACTACTATTCACATCATTATGTACTTCGCAAAAAATTTTAATGGAAAGAATAATTAATTCAGCCTGTTACCTATAACTTTGGAATACGTTATTTTGTTTAGTGTTTTTTTTTTTTTAACATTTATGAAAGTTATTTTGTTTGGTTTTAGCGCTTAAAGTCCAAAAAAAATCATGGTGATTTTTAGGTTGAGGTTGTAGTTTCCAATAATTTTGTTAAGATCATAAATTTTAATTGTAACTTATTAATTTATAATTTTTTAAATAACTAATAATGATACTTAAAAATATTTATTTATAAATTAATTTTAATTTATTAAATAACAAATATTAAATGTTTTTAATAATTAAATTAAATTAATTTACAATTTTAATAATTTTAATAGTATTAACAAAATTAACAGTTCTCATAAGCATAACT